GTACATCAAATGCACGATGAAAAGCGATGATGAGCAACAACTGACCAAAACATCAGTATGTATATACATACTACACACATATATGTATATGTACTACAGCATATATATATATATATGTAGTTTAACTTATGTATGTAATAAATTAGACTATTAAAATGATAATCAACGAAATTCAAACAAACCAATTTGATCTTCCGGGTACGATCAGAAGCCAGAGCTTTTTCCACTGCGAGTCCGACTAAGCGACAAGCTGTCGTCCACCTTGTATGTACATTATTTTCAGCAATGGGCATCAGCATCGAATACGTTGCGCTCAAAGCGAAATAAAGAGTCATCGCGATTCTGAAGCAGCAATCTCAACGTAAAACTGGCAGCTCGAGGACACTCGACACGGAGATTTCAGATTTAAAACCGTCTATTACTCTCTTCCCTTTTCATTTACAGCCCATGCCTGATACACAGCCTTCACAAAGACTTATCAAAGCGCCATAACTTTTTGAATTATACAAAAGAATTTAGCAATTCTCCCATCCCACCATCACTTCACTGAATTTTGGGATTCTGTAAGGGAAAAACTGGTCCCGAGCCCCTACCACTCCCCAGACCTCCCTCCTGCCAGACCAATCCTGCCACTCGGGAGACAGCAATACCTTAGAACTTGGCGCATGCCCACCCACCCGCTTGATCAGGCGTGCAAGTTCATCCAGCCCTCATGATCCCAGTCAAGCAAAAGGCATTTTGAGGTATGCATGCTTGAGCCTATCTTCAGTGTTGAAGAAATGCTCCTGAATTTGGGAATTAGATAAAAATCGCTCACTCCGCTTCTTTCTCTTGCATGCGATGATCCACAAAAATACAATCGGCAGCTACTAAAACTGAGCTCAGTTGGTGTGGCTCCACCGCGTAGAATAAATTCGTTTTCGGGTTCGCGTGAGGATCACGGAAACCATTATGCTACAGGTGTTATTCAAGTGGTACGATCGTTTCCATACTCGTGGGGGACGAAAAATCCAACGCGCTGCCGTGTCTGCGGACAAATCCATTGGTACTCGAAGAAATCTAAAACAGAAGGAACAGGAGAGTGCATCAGCTTCACTCTGTTCCAGAATTAGTTGCCCGGGCGTGCTAGATGGTAATTTTGATCTGCAAAGACAGTGATCGTAACGCGAGGCAGATTTACAAAGTGAGTGAGGAAGCGAAGGCCTAAATTACTCGAGCGAAACACATGCACTCACGAAGTTTGCTGAAATCGATAAGCAGTATTGCAAAACAGCCCATATATGCTTTATATCTGTTTTGGAGGACACAAAAGTGCTAATCAGCGCTATGGTGTTGATGGTGTTGATGTAAAACGGTGTTGATGTATTTCAAAAAAAAAAAAAAACGGTGTTGATGTATTTCAAAGCAAGCTGCGCGTAAAGCCTGGAAGACTTGCACGCCACGATTCGTTGATCTCGCTGGTGCAAGAGTTGTTCTCGCGTATTTCATCAACGAATGCGTGGTGCAAGAATTGAGGGCAGAAACAAGAGAATTTCATGTGAGCACGCTACACAACACTGGCATATTTTGCTGCACTGCGCTAATAGTCAAATGAGTTGTTTTTCTGGGAAAAATCAGTGATCAGCCCCAACGAGCACGAGATACACTCCTTTTCTTCGATTGGTGGCTTTATGGTGTTCAACAAGAAATCAGACTTCCGGTGAGAGACTGTAAACTCAAGTTTATGCGCTTATATCCTCCTTCTATTCAAACAGCTCACATTTCCGTTTCCTTTAAGTCTGGTAACCCCGCGTTTCATTGCCAAATCAGACGTTGTTGAAGGCAGTATGGGCCATGAAGACCCTACCCACATCATATGTACTACATTTTATTAATTATGAATGCGTAGTTTAATTTCATAGTATTTTATTGAAGTCCCTGCAACATCCCATTCAGCAAGCTACTACCATAACTTTCCGCGATCATTCTACCTCCCGATGTGCTCCTTGAACAAAATACACCACTACACCATGAAAAACAGCTCCTATGATCTAGCCTGGTTGCGGTACCCAAAACCAATCAGGAAAGGTCCTAGCTTAGCTGTCGAAATACTTCGAAAGGGGTAAAAAGAACACTGTTAAGTGGGACATGTATGTCATTTAAAAGGATGTAGGAATTGTTGCACCCAGTTGTTGAAGTCAACTGGGTGCAACAATTCTTACATCTGCGTGCAGCGAGTTTTAAAAAATATTAGAACTAATTCAGTCTGTGCGTGGAAATGATCGCGGAGGCTGACTTCAAGGTATGCCGCGAAAAGTATTAGATTAATAGCGACTTGCTGCAGTGATCCATTCAATAATTTTATGTACTGTGATTATTCTAGATCAAAAAATAAATAAATAAATAGCAACGCGCAGCAAACTAGCGATCCTGCGTTTTGTGCAATTCAGCTCATCGAACGATTGCCTATTAATGATTTTCACTGCTTTGTACTCTG